CGAAAGCAAAGTAACATTGTTACTGGTGGATTTAAAAATATAGTATTGAATTCTGCTACTGCAATAGAGGGAACATGTTTGTTATATTTTATGGAGAGTTAAAACAAATAATTAAGTGTGAAATATATGGGATAGAGACCAGTCTCCTTTCAGCTCTGGGTTCTAGGCTCAAATTCAACCCAAACCTCTGGTGGCTGTTGAGTGTCTGAAATGAAACTCTTGACCTCCTAACCCCCTACTATCCTGCTCGCTCCCTCCGCTCAGCGGGCTCTGGCCTGCTTCACGTCTCCCACCTTGCCCGCCCCACCACTGGCGGGTGGGCCCTCTGCCACTCTGCCCCTACGCTCTGGAACTCCCTCCGCCTCGCCCCCTCCCTTGCCTCCTTCAATACCCATCTCAAGACCCTCCTTTTTGACCGTGCTTTCGCTCACCCTGCTTCCCCTCCTGCCCGCCCCAATCCCAACCCCCAGCTCAGGTCCGAAACACTGACTGTCCAGTGCCTGGGGATGTCCTCCCGACGTGAGAAGCGCTGTACAAATGTAATGTGGTGGTTGTTGTTGCTTTCGTATAATGACCATTTCTGTTGGGAGATTCATTCATTTGTGTCGATACGTTCCACTGAATGTGCAATCTTATTACCATTTTCCAATTGATCAAATTAATTTACCCGACGCTAAAAATTATAAATATTAATCCTTATTGTGGAAACGGAAGTAAAAGCTACCAATCAAAAAAAAACAACACTCGAAAGCTTAGTCAAAAAATGAAATTAGTTATTCATTTTAAAATAATGCAATTAGACATTGATTTCATATTTGATTAATTAGACGTTTGTAGTTCAACCAATTTAATCGAGTTTTACATTCCAGCAAACACTAAGTTGTGTGGTCACCGTGTCTCGAACGAATTTGAATTCTATTCAGTCCTCATTTTATATATAACTAATTGATTAATTGCTTGGTGACCACTGAGGTGAACTGACCTGTTTGTTTATTAAATTCAGCAAGAAAGCAATCCAAACCTTTGACTTTGGGAGGATATCTCAAAACATTTCCCAGGATTTTTACTGTAAAGTATAGCGATTGTGTATCTTGAAGGTGAACAGCGCAGCCAGTTTGTGCACAGCAACAGTCCAGTAAACAGTCATGAAGTAAATGATCAATTTCCCGAGAATGAGATGCTCAAAATGTGCACATTATGAGAGGGGTTCGGATGAGGAAAGCTCAATAGCGGATTTGATCTAATCTTTCCAGAGTACTTTCCTTCCCTTTTTCGTATTGCAACATCCAGCTGGTTGTTAAATAGTCAGCATCCTGGTAATCCATTCCAATTATTAATTACTGTCTCTGAAATGAAAATACTTCCAGGTGTCTTTCTTGAAATTGCCCTTTACAGCCATAAACCTACAGCCTTTGTTCTGCTGCCTTGGCACTTCTTAACGTATTATTCTGAATCTACTTTCTCAATCCCATTTAGCTTCTTATACACCTCTATAAGGTCCCCTTTGAGACGTCTCTTTACAAGGCTGAAGAGCCCTAGCTTATCTAATCGTTCCTATTAGTTCATCGCTCTAACACTTGGAAACCTATCGTTGCATCACTGCAACAAAGTCCTGAGAAGCTCTCTCTAGGGACCCGGTAGCTCTGTAGTGTTATCTAGAAGTAATTGAACCCAACTGTGAACAGAGAGTCACATTATTCTGTTTCGTGCCTGTACTGGTGCTGCTATTTAATAAATGTTGAAGTAAAGCCACACGTAATTGACCCAAAGATAGAAAGCCACGGTTTTGCCCACAAAATGCAGAGTCAATTCACTTTACAGTGTATTCTGCGAAGCGCTGTGCGACGTCTCAAAGCCGTGATAAGGTGCTGTTTCAAATGCAAGGATTATTATTTTTGGATAAAGCAAAATCTATTCAAAATACAGTTGGATGATTTGTCAAGCTGCAAAACAATTGTATTTTACTGTATTGTTTCTAAAAAGAAACGGTGATAAATGTGGTCAAGCTATCATTTCTGAAAAGAATTGGGAGTATGGTTTTCCTGTCCTTGCAAAGTTGGATCCAATGGTGCTGAATCCAAGACCTAACTCTCTATTCAGGGAATTAATTCATTAATTCATCACACATTGCAATTTTCACCCTATGATGTACATTTCCTTTTGCCTTTTCTGTTATGTTCCCACATGTCCTCTGCGCTATCAAATGTGCTCCCTCTCCACAACTAACCGATGAGCTGAAGAAAGAGAATAAGGATTTCCATAGTAACCAAACTAAAGGAGCCTGCATTCTCCAATAAAATCATATGCCATCCTTTTTTTTAAAGAAAAAACAAATAGATATGCATGAAGTATATTGTTACAATTAACTGGATAAGTTATTTCTATGGCTTCGTGCCTTGGTCATAGATCTGTAAAATGTTTCATTCTTGAAATTTGTCATCTGTATCAATTTTTAATTTACGGCGTGTGTGATTTTAAACGTGTTTTTTTTTGGAAGAGGCATTCCCTGCCTGCAGATGCTGTATTGATGCTAATTTGGTTGTTGTATCAGCAAAGAATGCATGTAGCAATCAGGCAACTGCAATCCTGTGATGAGCAAATTGTACACTTTATCTTCGAGCTCTTAGTAATGAACCGTGCAAAGTACTGTAATATAACATTGACAATTTGTATTTTTCAATAAAAGTCCCACTGCAGCTCTATAGAGTGAGGTATAACACGGACAAAATAAAAATACATTTGATATAGCACCTTATTATGTCGTTGAGACATCTCAAAGCGCTTCACGGGATTTTACTGGGATGTGCAGTGAATGTACACTTGTAGGTGAATGTGGCAGCCACAATTTGCGCACAATAATGGCCCACAAACATCCATGAAGCGAACGACCAATATTTGGGGGGAGATTGTTAGCGAGAACACAAGCGGAGTCTCGTCAGGTGAGGCAAGTGACACTACCTCACCATCAGTGGAAATAACTGCATCCTGTCACCCCCCCCTTTAATTGTGTTCTATCAGGTCACCTTTCCACCTCTTCTGCTCCACTGAAGACGGACCCAACTTCTCCAATCTCTCCTCATAGCTATAATAAGTGTCCAGGAGTGAGAATCAGCTGCTGGAATACCCTGCCTACTGTGCCAATTGTAATAATAATAATATAATAATAATCCTTGCAATTGATATAGTTCCTTATCACATCTTAATTTCAGCATAAAATTGTATATATTTAAATTACTGAGTTAGTAATACAACTTTCTCGTCAGTTTAAAATATGACAGCAACTCTACAATGACAGCAGTAGTATGCTATATAATCCTATATATGCTAAATAAAGACTATATAAAATATGATTACAAAACGGTTACATATTTTTCAGGTACCTACAACAACTTGGATTTATATAGCGTCCTCCACGCCGGACGGCGTCTCAGAGAGTTTTACAGTAACGGATCCCGGGACCGAGCCGGGGGGAGGGGGGGGGGGGAAGGTGACCTAACCGAAAAATGACACCAATGAAAAAGTAAAAAGGACTTTTCTAAATGTATTTTTCTTTTTTTTTTAAAAAAAGTACTATTTAAAGACTTATTTTATTTGTCCGAGGTCTCAATTGTGGAACGGAAAAACATTAAGGGGTCGGGGAGAGTGGAAATATTGTCCCTCTTTGGCGGATGCAGCTCAGAAAATAACTTTTAAACAAATCGCACTAAACATTGCAAAGTGAAGCTCACCAACATCAATTGTGGAATACCACAAACTTTACTCCGGTGTTCCTTAACTTTCCACTAAATATTGATAGCTAAAATATAGAATTTCTGATTTTTTTTGGAATGAATAAAAATAAATGCAGAATTTTATATAAATGGTTTGAAAAATGCACGATTCTATTAAACAGCTACATGTCAACATTTCATTGATTATATGTATCCTGTGGATTTCATCGCATTGCTTTCATGGTCCAAACCCAATAATCACATCACTTTGAGACATCTCGAAGGCTTGATAAGGCGCTATGTCAAATCAAGGATTATGATTATTATTACTAGCATAATATTTGGCTTGAAATATTAAAAGTGGAACCATCATGAAACAGAAATGACGTTACATGATCTACTCCATCTGTTCTCTCCAAACACACATTTCTCTTGGATCAAAACTGTTTTTAGTCCTGTTCCCTCCGTGTAAACTCACACATTTGTCTTATGTTTTATATTACATCTTCCAGTTTTTCTTCAGTCACAACATCAGGTGATCTCAGGACACAGCAATATCTTGAAGATCACAAGGCAATATGGACAGCTATAATAGAAAACACAACAACAATAAATTACATTTACACAGCGCCTTTCACATCGGGAGGATGTCCCAAGGTGCTGGACAGTCAGGCATTTAAACATGTTGACCAAAAGCATAGATGAAGAATTGTTTCTTGAGGAGGTTCTTGAGACAGGTCTTGAAGGAGGCAAGGGAGGGGTTGAGACGGAGGGTCTGTGAGATGGTGTTCCGTGAGATGTGATCTCACCACTTGGGAAATTTTGGTGTCAACATCCATCTTAAACTCCCTCTCCCTAGAATGGCATGTTAGTGTACCATTGCCCCACATGTTTTAAAGTGACGCACTAATATCAACAAACATTTCCATCAATTTCCTGGGCTGTTGAGCACAAATTGTTTGGAGCAGAGTCCAGGTACAGTAATATATTAACGTGACATTTTTACACGCTTTCATGATGAGGACAAGGCCCCTTTTGTGCAATAATCTTCAATTACTTTAGAATTTTCAACACAAATCACTTTTTTTTTTAAAAAATCGAGACTGAAAATCTGCTTTTTCCATTCCCTTTCATTATGAAATCATAGACCCATATCTTCCTTAACGTAACCTGCCAGTATTCATTCTTGTGGTTCCCTCTGATAAAACGGCGCATTAACTCTCAGTAGGTCGCAGGCAATTTGCATTCATTAAAAGAATCGCAACGAAAGACAGCCGGAATTCTTATTCATAAAATTTAATTTCTACAAAAATGTACAAATGGCTCAATTTACAGCAAAGAATACAATGACAACATCCGCAGGCTACAGGAGCAACAGAGCATGTTATGATACAAAAACTGCCCAAGCCTATCACTTTGACTGCTGTGGCCTTGATGGATATTGCACATGCTGTACACCTTCAACCCAGGCTCCCGAAAAGAAGCCAAACTTGCTGTCACCCCAAGTTGAAAACACAGTACAGACAGAATCATAAACAGTTTGAACTAAGAAAGCTTTAATATGTGACGTCAAAGCAAAGTATCCAAAGGAATGGATTTAGTCTAGAAGCTATCGCATTTTGCCAATGTCGAAAGGTGCACTTAAAAATAGTTTCCATTTTTGACCATCGTTTGCTTGAGCTTTATTATGCCACGTACTCAGATCCCCGGAACTGATTTCTTTTCTGAAGATGCTATTCTATGTCGGAATTGTTGGCCACATTAATACCAAGGTTGACAACCTGTAAACCGGGGTCCACTTTTTTAAAAAAAACCTGTCAGGAATACTATCTGATATGTTCCGTTTCCTAATAACTGGAATCCGATGTTTGAATGCTCTGTCGCTGTGCAGTGACTGATATCCCAATAGCACTCGTGTGCAAATACGATCCCATCTAGACAAGTTGCAGGGCTGAATGATGTAGGTATTTAATTTGGTCCGTTGTATTACCCAAGCAGGATAATATAATGATTGCCCACATTTTCAAAGATATCATCATCAGGACTATATTGTCTGTGGCTGCAAAAGGTTCTATGATGACATCAAATCAGGTATGGCAGTTTTACTTGGCGCTTGTAAAAAAAAAAAAACAGTGGTTCATTCCGCTTATAGTTCTGTACCATTTAAAACCTGCCAGTTAACAACATTTGCACTAACCGTCACTGAAGGGACAATCCAAGCATTTAGAACGGTGTTCGGAATTTGTTTTTAATAGACGATAAAATTCCTCCTAAAATAACCAGCATGTTTTATCTGATCTTTTAAGGCATCTGTCCCACATATTTCCGTTCTCAAGTGATTCCGTGAATTTGTTTCCATACCTTGGTTTCCAACGCTGTTAATTGTACAGAATTAAAGACTGTGAGCAGGTTTATCAACTGATGCATTTCGAGTGTTTTATAGTGTTAGCAATAGCTAGTTCACCATGCTATTTATAGCTCCTAATGTGCTTCTTGTGAACGTAAATGCAGACTTGGATCAGGCATGTGCAGCCATGTCATGTTGACAGAAAAACAATCATCTGTATTTCTAACCGCTGTTGTCAATGGCTCCGAATTGGATTCAGTTCACTTGGGGGGCACAGAAGTGCAGGACCCTCTCGGTCCATTGTATGTTTAAAAAAAATATTTAATGAAGAATCGCAATAGGAACCCTGCAGAAGCCGACGGGTCAGAGAAGCTCCAGCCAACTTCAGGCACTCAAGGTCATGTTGCGCAGGACCCACTGCTGCGATCGACTTCCGCTGCAGTCTCTCATGGTCGGAACCATTTTATCTTCCTCGGTTGGCTCATCCAGACACTGATTGCTGTTCACGTGTCGTAGTGTTAATCTCTGGGGGGAGGAGATGGGGCGGGGGGAGAGAAAGCAATGATCTGAGAAATCAGTTTGGAAAGTACATCTGCTTTTTAAATAACACCCAGAACACCTGAAACCGCAAAACAGCTGCGTTATTCTATCTTAGTTCAATGACACTAGGGCTCATGGGCAATGAAACATATGCACCAATAATTCTTCGCACCATTTGGGTTCGTGTTCAAAAACACCACCTTTCTATTTCCTTTCAAGCCCTGAAGTCATGTTCTCTACTGCCAATTTTTTTTAAAAAAGTTAGCACATTTAGAACAGGACTTATATTTTTTAAGCCATGCAAGATCCATTGGAATCCCAGTGCCCTTCAACATATCAAACGGAAATGCTAATGTTTATTTCAGAAGAGAACAGTAATGCGTGCACTTATGGCTAGCAAACCCAGCGAGTATCATTTATTAGGTATGACAGTCCCTCGTTTTGGCTTTGAAATGCGATCTATTTTTATACCATTTTAGAAAGTTCGGCGTGTTTACGTGGAATTGCAATCTGCATCACTCTTGCCAATCATCAATATCACTCAAAACATTTCCTTAATGCTGACTCTGTTAAAAGAGACTCAGAAAAAAGAGTTTCAAAGTTACAGTGGAATGGCATGTATTCTATTTACCCTCGATCATATTAATGCCACATCCACAGTGCATGGATTATTAAAACATTGACCCAGTGTAATGAAAGACATAATGTTATTTATAATAATAATACAATGACAGTGGATTGTGCTGTGTTAATAGCTGAATTAATAACATGCAACNTTTTTAGAAGAACATAGTGATTAGAAATGATTACATTTTTCCTTGGGGGAATATATACATACACGTATTGACATACACAACCCTGTCCGACTGAGTTACATATTCATTCATGCCTTGGTTCCCCCACAGAATGACATATTCAGCAATCTAACATTATATAAAATCCCCAGTGAGGCAGTACATCACACACTGCGTGGCAAAAGGCTCCATGCTGTCCCTCTGCATTACTTTTTGGACAATGGACGAAAACTACGTTATTTGATATCAGTTAAAAAAAAATTCTCTGGAGCTTAATAACCAAAAATGAAAAAAGGTTGCACAGAGTGCATTAATTAACCCTTTAATCGATTAGCTTCAAGCGACTTAGTAAATCAATGCACCATCACTAGCAATTATTATTTTTCCAATGCACCACAGCGGTTTGCCACATCATTGCTGCTTATGTCATCTCCGCTAGCTCTCAGGAAATTTTCAGACCGGTACTCTTGTTTCATGTCTCCAACCTTGATTTACGTAAGAGTTTTTTTTTACATACAGCACAACTTTTCCATTTTATGTCAGAACACTGCAGCTTAAGATGGATTATACCATAAAGCTTCAGGTTTCTCCTCAGTTCGAAGGAAAGCCATTAAGTGTCAATAGTCCTCTGAGAACACAACACTGCTCAACAGAACAGGATTATAATCAATTCAATTAGCGAGGGGACATTTTCACAAACTAAAATGTGCTTTGCACCATCATTAACATCTGAACAATGTTTTAGCAGAAATGTATTCACAGCAAAGAAGATATATTCTAGATTTCCATGATATTTCTCAATTGACAATATATATACAATGTATATATTGCAATATTTTTCTTAATATGCAGCAGGATGATGATCATTTTGCAGATCTTCTGCAACATGAAGCACATTTGTTCTACATATTCAAAACAAGATTCAATCTTGAAACAATCTAGTCCATAATTAAAATGTTTACGAGGAAACCTAGGCATTAGTGATTTGCTTACTTAAACAACAATCTATTTAATTCAGTAGATTTTAAAAAAAACTAGATGTTGTTTCCTCTTACTGGTTACATTAATTCTTTGTTCCCATCTAACTCGTTTGTGGGAACCCTAAATAATTACACCCTATCCGGCAATTTGTTCAATTTAAGCAAATCAAAACGAACAAGAAATTGCTAAATGAAACAAAATAGGTTCCTCTTTATTAGGTCATTATCATACAGTCATTACGCCCATGAATGAGATATGAAATTCAAGCAAGTATTTGCCAATGATAATGACCGTGCTGTACAATTTGTACAATTCCAGCTCAAAATAAAAATATACAGTATATACAAGTGCAAAAATAAATATGGAAATTGCCTTGTGATAAAAAAAAGGGGGTTATAAGTAAAACTTTACACTCTCTCCTAGGAGCTCCCCCCTCTCTGTTGGGTCCCAGTTCAGGGGTGAGTTAGTCCAGTCTACATTTGATCTCAGCATCCTTCAAAAGGAAATAATAATAGGGTCACTGAATCCACGACTGTTTGTGGGACGCTGCTGTGCACAACTGACTGATGCATTTTGTCCACAAAATATACAGTCAATTCGCTTTACAGTATATTCTGTGAGGCGCTTTGAGGCGTCTCAACGACGCAAAAAGGCGCTATATCAAATGCAAGGATTATGATTATTATTATGATAACTATTATTAAGAAACCCTTTCTCAGAGCAGGCAAGTATTACAAGGGTATAAGATGCACATGGTTAATATCACTGGTTAAGATCTGCGGTGCTCATCCTTTGTACATCGATTTATCTCTTCATAGTTTTTGAAGTTCAATAAAATGAGTCATGTATATATTAAAAAAAATCGAGGAAAAGGGGTAGGGGATACTGGGGACAGAAGGCAAGTGGGGGTCTCCTTGAGATTTACAAAGAGAAAAATGTCCCCTTGGGACATCAGCAGTGATTAACAGCAATCGTGCAGGAAAAGTCACTTACAATTCAATCACCTTCAAAGAAAACTTTTCATTCCTTATCTATGATTGATGGACTGATCTAAAATAAAAAGCATTTGGTTTCATTCAAACTACTTTGGCCAGCTTATCAAGGCAGACCTCAATCAATCCAGTGAGCTCAAACAATCTCATACTTGAGAGTCCTTTAAATAATAATAATCCTTGCATTTGATAAGATGCCTTATCACATCATTGAGACATCTCAAAGCGCTTCACAGAATATACTGTAAAGTGAATTGACAGTATACTTTGTGGGCGAAACCATTTTTCTCGTGGGTTAAATTTGTCTTTGCTTGCTTTGTTCTGTTTTTTTCTTTCCTGTCTGAGAAGACAGTTTTAAAGCATTTAGCGATGGGCAGGAGATAAAATGATACCCACAAAACAATTGGCTCAGGGATTTTTTTCCTATCCTTTCATTCCCCGTGTCCACTGCCACTTAGTGTTTTTCGAAATAACTATTTTAATATTTTGTCTGCACCATTCTGCCATGGCCCAGCGATTGTGATAGAGAAAACACAAAGCACATTTGCAGAATAAAACTAGAAAATACTCCGTGAAGCAATAGCAAAGCCCAAGTCTCCCTTGTGAACACTGCTGTGCGTTTACTCAGAAATCAACACACGGACAAATTGTGAGCCCGGATATTGAACTGAGACTCCAATAAATTGTTGTTGTCCTGATTTAAATATCTCCTCAAAGTGTTCAGCAAATTATACTGACCGGGTGACATTTTGAACACAAGGGTTGGTAAGGTCTACAACCTTCTATATTAAAATGCACACACACAGCACAAAGCAATTTCAGCCCATCTTATCTCCCGCTCCTTTAAGTTTTTTTTCCACCTTTGGATTATAGAAATTGCTCTGTTTTGGGGACTCGGTTCTAGTTGAACTGATTACATTTTCCCTGGAGGGGGAAAAAAATATTATTTCTGAAAAAAGAGCCAATGCACTTTCTTTACAAATTCGAACACCTGCCATGCTTTTTCTCCTCCCAGAAGGAAACATATGCGCTGTTGACTGCTGATTTAAGTGCTATTTTTCTTTTTTTGTAGTTTATTCTCTCCCACTTTTCCTCCAGCACTTTGGCCCTCAAAGATTTTACTAGATAACTTGCCCTGTTGTTTAATAATCCTTTGATATAGCGCTTTATCACATCTCAAGGGGTTTCACAGATTTATTGAAGCTACAACTCACGTACTTGTCTGTACTTGCAGTTCCATTAATATCCTGCTTTCTCTTACAATACCCATTCCTCTTCGAATTTGTAAAACGTTGGTGACATTAACTTTGGTGGTGGTTTAAGGCAGATTTTGTGAGCAATTTTCAGCCAGTGTCACACAGCAGTCTCCTTTTGTGAATCACAAGTCTGTAGCGTGTTCCTTCCCCCATAAAATCCAAAGATTATCACAATACAGGGCTCGTTCCTCATGAATACATGTACTAATCGACTACACAACACAATTTGGCAAAGAGTGATGATTAGCTACTGACCTCTATTGTGTATGTTAAAGAAAATAATCAGTCGAGCTGTAAAAAATGTTCCTGAACACTTCTTGTCGAGTGTAGTTTCTTAGGATCCACATTTGCAAAGTGCTGCCTGTACAGCTCTCCACAGTAGGATCAGACTTGCCATTATCCTGCTTTCTAACTGAGAGGCATGACTGGCTGTTTATGTGAACAAATGTGAGTTTCTGCATGACAAAACAAATGAAGAGAAAAAACAAAACAAAACAGGAAAATGTACATCATGAGAAGCAAAATGATAAAGCATTTACAGTGGAAAGTGACTGATGTGGATTTTTTTGGGTTAATAACCTAAAGCTAGCGGCCTAATTTTTGTACAAAGCATAATTCTTACTCTTTTGAGTTACAGCGTCGGTGTATCAATTAAAAACAGTGAGCTGAACAGCCACCTTTCAGTTTTGAACCTTGCAAGCCCTAATGAGTAGTGTGGTCTTAGCTGGACAAGCAGCGGGGAAGCTTGCCAGACAGCGATATCAATGGCAAGCTATGCAGTTTTAGCTGGTTAGACTCCAACGCACACTCTGGGTTCCCCAAGTCTTAGCTCTTACCAATCTGCGCCCAATACTTGGAATCTGGAATTAGCTAAGCAGGGGGCGTCCCTCCAGGGAGAGAGAGGGAGAGAGAGAGAGGGTGTATTCCATTCCAGCAATCTCTCTCTGGGATTTCCATGTGAAGGTGGGATGCATGGAATTCTCAGCTGGGTTTGGATAATTTTAAGCCACGGTGATGGTTTACCTATGTGCCAGACACCCGGCAGACCCTAGAAACGTTTATAATTCTATGAACTTCACAGCAATGGAAAAACTGATCTGGGCCACTCTGATCCCTGTCTTGTCCGTATGTTATATGTTCTATTACAGTCTCACTAGTCAATCCAATCCTCCTTTGGATTTGGCCCTTGGTGAGATACAAGTTGTTGTCTATATTATGCATACAACAGATGAAGGATTAATTATAACAATTATTGTGATTATAAACGTACATTTAGACATAGCAGACAATGACGGAATCTAAAATTGTTTTGCTATAAAGTCATGTAAATTCACCACCAAAGTAATCTAATTACTACAACTAAACACAATGATGGAACGGCGGTGAGATGAGGAATAAAAAAAAGTTTATTGTAGACTAAATATGATTTATTATTCGATGAAACATGATTTCATAATTTGTATTTGTCAATTATGTAAATCATGCAATCTACTTTTGTTTTGTGGTTATCGTTATCTATCCTGAATTTTAAAAAATGAATATTAATATGTTACTTAATGTGTCAATGTTCATTTTCTATAACTTTTCTCTGCACTGGTGGTGCAAACCAAATTAATTCTAAAGTAATTGAGACACAGAGATTAATATTAATTTACCCAACAGGAAATATTTACCATTTTATAAGTAAACCACACAAAACATTCCAACAAGTCAATTTGAATAGCATCTTTCTTCATTAAATTGGAAAGCAAGTGTGAAAGCGTGTAATAAAGTATTCAGTGCACCAGCAGTGAGCTACAGAGTTAAAGTTACCTTGGAACATTTAATAAAATCTCCAGATAATGGGGTGAGTTTACAACTAACTTACCTGAAAATTATATTCCCATTTGCCTGCATTCTATGAGTGAAAAAGCATAAACACTCAATTTCAGGTGTCAACATTTTTACTTTCAATATTCCAAGACTGCTAACTCTACAACTGATAAACTATAACTTATCTTGAGAAGGAATCAGCATAGCTGTCTTATTATTTGAATTATGCTTACCATAATAATACATTGCTGTATACTTCCAACATTTCACAATAACAATAATCCTCGCATTTGATATAGCGCCTTATCACATCGTTGAGACGTCTCAAAGCGCTTCACAGAATATACTGTAAAGTGGAATGATTATGTATTTTGTGGGCGAAATGCAGCAGCCAATTGCGCACAGCAGCGTCCCACAAACAGTCGTGGATTGAGTGACCGCATTTTTTTGAAGGGATTATTACCCCTGGTCTACCAATCGACTAAGAACTGGGTTCCTACTCACTGCTAGGTAAACAGAGATGTGTGTGTGGAGTAAGGAACCTTGCCTAAGATTTTTCCCTGACCGGGAATCGAAGCCGGGTTCTCTCGACGGGTTTGATTCCCTGGCAGGGCGAAACCTTGTCAAGATTACAGTGATCTGCCATGAATATTGTACCCTAAATGCACAAGACAGATCAGTTGTGCAGCTTCTTTGTCAGACATTCGTAGCAAGTGATAAACCACCGATGATTCATAAAATAACTAAAAATGAAACCAGCTCAAATTATCAATCAAATGTTTTCGGGCGTCAATGTCTGTACGTAAAAAGATTGAAACCGCGTGTTAAGAATAACGCCACACTAGTTTGCTGCTTCTTCACCAAAATAGAATCCATAGATTCACAGCAGCTATACAAGTCCTTGTGTTGTGACTGAGATGTCTGAGTGCTGAGTGGGTTAGAGTCTCACATTCTGCAAGTCTTTTATTTCAAACTCAAAGTGCTATTGAAATAATAGTTTGTGAAGATAAAAGCTGGATTTTGGGTAGTTTTCAGCTGCCTTAAGGCAGTTAACAACTGGTTGGTTGACATAGCAATGTATTACTGTGATATTGGCAGGTGCTCACATAGTCCATGCTCAAACCAATGTCTCTTTAATATGAAGTAGGGCTTTGGAACTCCATTTGCTGTTTGTAACTGTACTTTGTGTATAGACACCAAACTCTGCTGGGAATGTAGTTTAGTTGCTATTCATGCCTTGTACTCATTTTATATAATAATTATTATGAGGGAGTAATAATCCCATCAAGAATAAATAAATACATTTAAAAAAATAATAATTTGGTCATTCAATCCACCACTGCTTGTGGGACACTGCTGTGCGCGATTGGCCGTCGTGTTTCTCCCACCAAATATACAGTGGATTCTCTTCACAGTGCATTCTGAGAAGCACGTTGAGACTCAACCATGTGATAAGCGCTATATCAAAGTCAGGGATTATTATTATCTTGGGAGGAGGAGATTTGTTTTTGCCTTTATCTGAAGAGCTCTGGTTAACAGAGAATGTTTTTCCTCTGTGCTTGCATTGTACACAAAGAAAACTGTGTATGTGTCTACATATATACATGAATAATCTAGATTTTTGCATTTGTCCTTTTGTCCTGTTACGTTATCTGTTTACTTTACTTTATCTCCTGCAGTGAATACTGTTTACAATGCTACATAGTTTATTAGATAATATTTTCTAATTACATTTTGGTTTATCTCTTCCAATTTAGCAGTTTAATCAACAGACTTGTACTAAACAAATAAATTCCACATTATAAGGCCATAATTTCCTTTTCACGGTAGCATCAATAAAATTAAACCATTCTAAATAATTCACTAGCTACCACTGGATTATAAATAGAGGATGCACATCAGGGATTAATGTTTTACAAGATAGAAACTGAGAGGTATGACACAAGTACGGTAAATGTTACTTTGACTACGACACAAGGGGTTTATTATTTGGAAAACTCTCTCGCTATTCTCCAGGATGTACTCAATCTATACAACACACATTACAAGTTTAAAGGAAAATTGGGATAGGTTAATCTAGCTTCAAATTTTAGTTTGACCCCCCCCCCCCCCCCCTTCCCCTGGTACTGATTTAGCAAACAGCTCTAGAGTGACGCTTTTGATAATAATATTAATCATAATTATTCCTTGCATTTAATATAGCACCTTACCACGTCAACGAGACGTCTCAAAGCGCTTCACGGAATACACTTTAAAGTGGATTGCCTGTATATTTTGTGGGCGAAACGCAGCAGCCAATTGCGCACAGCAGCGTCCCACAAACAGTCGCGGATTGAGTGACCCAATTTTTGGAGGGGGTGGACATAACATAAGGCAGAAGTGAAATCGGTGTGAAAACAACACACACACACAATGTTGTCCCGGCAGCACTATGTCATTTGCTGGAGCACTGTACAGCCCATGTCACTGTGACTATACAAGGGTAGTCTCTGGGATCTGTGCTGTGGAACGGAGGGAAATTGCACGGCTCAATCCGACCGGCAGTGTGTCAAACCCGGCCAGTATCACGTCAATTAAAACTACCGTAAATCGGGAAAATAACTTGCGTGCTGCCAGTGTGGCGGCAAGCAGCGTCACAGAAAGCCCAATACCAAATGGACTCAGTGAGTAAAAAAAAAACAATAGAAAAGCGTTTTCTGTCGAAAATCAGTGGTTGGACTGTTCCCACTTTAAATTGCCGCATCCATCCAGACACTCGGGGTGTCAGAAAGCACCGAATGAACTGAAAACTGCTTGGAGCATCCACGCAGCCAGAGAGGTTTCAGTTTCCACGGCAACCTCCTGCACCGATCCTTCTCTGTTGCACTCTAACGTTTGAGATAATTCCCCCCACCCCCCCCCCCCCCCCCGCCCCACCTCCCCACCACCAATCTGAGGGCCTGGTGTACATTTGTGGGCGTATTTCTTTGTGCTCATCGAGGCACTGGATATCAGTACAGAAGATGTTTCAGAGTACTCCCATGTCAGGTACGGCATGAGATATCTGAAGGGTAAAATTCTCTTCCCTTAGCTGCAACCATGTGCCTTAACATTAACCTGAGCTCGTTGCTGCACACAGTGTGACACCTCCTGTTCCCGCACCGGTTATCCTCTTGCCCTGACACAGTCATTGCCAATTAGTGAGGAAATATGTTCAAATGATGCCACGTCTCACACCCACAAAGTATCTCGTCAACGCGAGGCTCAATTCCAGACCATCCCCTTGCATTTGATACAGCAACTTATCACATCTTCGAGACGTCTCAACGCGCTTCACAGATGATACTGTAAAGTGAATTGACTGCGGATTTCGTGGGCGAAACACAGCAGCCAATCGCGCACAGCAGCGTCCCACAAAAAGTCGTGGATTGAGTGACCAAATTATCATTAGAATATTTTTTTAAACATAGAAAGAAGTACACGTTCAAGGTGGCTTCCTTGAGAGTCCCTCGCATGAACAAGAATTATTAAGCTGGTGCCTCAAAGCTCTGAAACACAAGCGAGCAACTAAACATGCAGCAATATCCTTAGTTTGTCATCCTCAAACTAGAGTGGGGCCAAATATTATTTGTTTAATTAACCCTCTTTTTAGAAGCAAAAGCTCTGAGTTCCGTGGATGGAGATGAAATACAGTAATTGCAAAATTACAGATGTGTCCGTATTGCACTGACACTTAACATTGACGCCATTATGACAGTATGTTTACAGACCAGTTTTTCTGTTTGCAATTAAAACTGTACCTACATCACAGGGTATTTTGTTAGAAAATAAACCAAATACTTGTCCGGGACGGAACAATTTATTGTGCAGTCTTTTATCTGAACTGCTATATAAGGTTACATTTTGTATAACATTTGTCATCTGATTTAATGAAAACAGGAAAACCAAACCAAGTAAGATTTCAGCAAAGCAAGTGCGAAATGAACATTTATTTGCCCACTAATATTTATCTGGTAATAAAGTGAACATCACAATGGTTTACGTGCTTAACTGGCTCCATCCGGTGGTAGAATATAATATTGTTACTAAACTGACTTCCAAATACTGTATAATACTGCAATATACCTCTAAAAAGTTGTAAATAGTTCAAGCAACAATAATAACTCATTTGTTGTAAGGTTTTTTTTAGGGTTTCTTTAAACGCATTGCTAACGTAGCTTCTCTGGTAGCTTAAGAGTCTAAAGGTCATCGTAAGGCAGTAAAGCCACATGTTTGGTGTGTTTCAAATGGTCATAGGACACATAGGCGAGGGACTGGACTGGATAGGTTCATGCTCTGGATCACTATTTGGTGATGTGTCTGTTGAAGTTAACATGTAAAGCATTGTGATGTTCATTGTAGATGGTTGGATTCCAGCAGCACCACCACCAACACCCACTCTGGGATCCCCAAGCCTTGGCTCTTGCCAACCTGCCCCTAATACTTTCTGGAATTAGGTAAGCAGGATGTGTCCCTCCAGGGAGGGAGAGAGCGAGAGAGAGCGAGAGAGCGCTTTCCATTCCAACAATCCAACAAGTGGGATGCATGGAATTCTCAATTTGGTTTGGATACTCTTAAGCACGGTGATGGGTTTCCACGTGTGTCAGGACACCAGGCTGACCAAAAAATACTATTGAAGCTTACTTTACAAACTCATCCACGAAAATGAATTTGTTTGGGGGGCGGGGCGGGGGGGAATCTATAATTTGCAAATAGTGTAGTTTCGAACCAGATGGTGCAGTAAACGCTTATATATTTACAGAACTTGATAAAAACACGTACAGTTCTTCAAAGGAAGAGAGTTGCAAACTCCTCTCAGCTTCATGTAGAAATAACTAGCTTTATCTGCCAAAGTCAGGTTTGTACTTTGACCCTTATACATGCATTCTTAAGGCAGAAAACCAAACTGAAATTCTCTCGCTCTCCAAATATATATATAATATATAAAATATATGTAAATATTATATATATGTGTGTGTGCGTCAGTCTACATTATGGGGCAATCATATGGATATCTAGAAGAAAATGGATGAAACGGCATCATTTTAACAGAGAAATAGATGTTAATGCGAGTGGGCTGTATAATGTTTAGAGTGCTTGTGTTAATAAATAGTTTGAACCTTTAAACACCTTATTCTCTCTACACACCAGCTCAATAGATCATTTTCAAGATTAAAAAGATATGATGTTGTAACACAGTACTTGCGAATTATAAGAAAGAAACTGTCTAAATGTATACCAGAAATACAGTGGGATGTATAGATATTGTAAGAACACTGAAATCTCCAATTGTATTTTCCTAATGTATCATGGACGTGATAAAACATCACTCTTAACATGTTATACATCATATATGATTAATTAAAATAATATAGTGTACCTGTACATCGTATTCCCACAGCTGGTTCCCCCTCATGTGATGACACTTTAACATCACCACTGGACCATTCAGCCTCGACACATCCAGGCACAGATCATCTGTTCTGATCTCTTTATCTGCTGTGTATGAGAATACCTGAAGAGGAATACAAATCACACATATATTACGTACAGCAATTCCACTTCACACTTAGAGAAAGCCCTCTGCTTTTGGGGCCAGTGGACCCTCTTATCCAACAACAACAACAAATTACATTTACATAGCACCTTCCATGTCAGGAGGACATCCGAAGGCGAAGGCGCTGGACAATCAGGGATTTGGACCTGAGCTGAGGGTTGGGATCAGGAGGGCAGGGGTAGAAGGGTGACCGATAAACAGTGTTTATTTGTAGCTAACTAGACTTAACGGTGGAGGAAAAAAACAACTCATTCTTAATGCACTAAAAAGATAATAAAAAAATACAAGCAAGTTGAAACAAAACCTTTCAATCCTACAAGTGCCTTGACAGTGTCATTTGAAATGATCAGTTCTTCCATTTCCTCTGGACTGATAGTGAACTTAATGGATGTTTAGAGGCTGATAAAATGTTCCCCTCAATTTCTCCTGCACTTGGCCCAGACTATAAATTTGAAATTGACGCACGAGAGGTGTAAAACTAAAGTACATTTTAGTGATATTGCTCCATAACATGAACTCGGCAAGTCTCTGCCTCCGAGCTCCCATAAGATACGCGTAATAACTGCATGCATGTGGCAAACGGTCATCTTCCATTTTATTTCAAACTAAAAATTTGCATAACACATAACAATGGCACAAGGGGAGAGAAGGGTAAGGTGCCGGGTAAGCTCAACAGCTTCTTGGAAAGACATTTAACTACATGTTATGCAGTGACCTTGAGTCAGACATCACGCTGCCCTTATAGCTTGTTCATTTTTCTTGCCGTCTAGAAGATGTCAAAAAAAAAATCACACATATCCAACATGGAGCTTCAGATAACCGTGTCAACTTGAACGATTTGGATATGCAAAGAAAATAGTGAAGGGTTGGAATCGCACAGGTGGGCAGGGTCAATCACCTGTAACAGCAGCGGGCTTTGGTGAGCGAAGTTAATGCATCTCCACATGACTCGATCAATCTCTAAGCAGTGAGTAAGGGAAATAGGAGACCAGAGCTTTCATCAGTGTCAGCCTGTGCCACGTACACAAAGCCGCTTGTGAAAGGCAACAGTTTGATTTTATTTTCGCTCTGTTATTCAGGGATGCGCTGGAAAGCTTCAAATAAATACAGGATTTGATGTAACCCATTGAAGTGTCCACTTGTTGAACAAGTGTAATAATCCTCAAGTTTAGTGTTTTGTGAAATTAGGTTCATGGTTTACAATTGTAAAACTGAGATTAAGAACTGAATTCATCTGGTTAAATGAATGATAAAATGGACTATATATTCCACAGCATAATATTGTTGTCTTTGCTGCACTTTTTTTTTGAAATCTTGGCAGCATATCATACCACTCGCTCACTGAACCAGTGAGTAAGTACTGAAATTGACATGGGTATGGTAATAGGATTGCTTTACAATTGATTTCCCTCGGAAACATGTTGCAAAGCAGAAGATTCCAACGCCAGAATCGGAATTAAAAAAATCAAAAATAAAAAAAAACGTTTCATGCAAGAGACTACAACCTACTGAAGGTCTTTTTCACGTCCCATAAATGCAGTGGTGAATGCCTTTGCTAGTTGTAGCATTATTATTTATCTGACAAGGTTTAAAGCTTGGAATAATTACCTTGCTGCTAACAAATCATAATATGGATTGCTCCCAGCAGCAGTTTTTCCTTATGTTTGCTCTTTTTTTTTAACAAAATGTGCGTTCGACTGTACACAGTGCTGATAGATCAGGCATTTTCACATTAAAAGCTTCCACCGCCTTATCTTGCAATTATTAAAATGTTCAACATTAGACACAATATAGTGAGAAAACTGGATGTTTCCAAATCACTAGTTCCCCGCTGAAGCTAAGATTGAACAATTATTCAATGGAAGCTGCAGCACTAACAACAACAATAAATTACACTTGTATAGCTCTGCTCATGTCGGAAAGACGTCCCAGGGCACTGGACAATCAGGGGTTTTGGACCCAAATGGGGAGTTGGGGTCAGAAGTGGTGGAGGGTAAAGGGGGTGGGGGTGGGAGGGAGTTAAAATGCTTGGCAATTTTAACATATGCAGTGTGCTTAGAATGTAAAAATCAATTCTATCATTCCCTACAGGCGCCTGACTCAAATGCGTGTATAATCATGTTGATCTTGGCCGACATTTCAATTAGCCAAGAGAACTCAAATTGTTCTTTAATTTACCTTTCTTAATGGATTCAAATATCCTAATCACGACTGTGGGGCAAAAGTTTAATGTCGTGCTATTTTATGCTGAGAGACGACAATGTTTTCAAGATACGGCAAATAAACTGTACAATTACAATCGATCACATTGCCATTAAGATTCAATTGTAGGTCTAAGTTCAATGCTAATTGGATCATTGAAGATCAAACATTTTACTGCTTGTTTTCATCCATCAAATAAGGGGAACTCCCACTCAGCAGTGCAGTCTTCAAAACACAGCACTGTTTCAGACAAATTCTGTTCTCTTTGACTACATAGTGTCAAGACTCCTAAAAGGTTTTCATCTTCAGTGAAAAAGTGCGTTGAATGAGCAAAATGAATGTAGGATATTCAGCCCATTAAGTCCATTCCTCCATCGGTATTCGTATGTCCAGATCCCTTTGGATATTACAGTATCAGTCGCCCTTACTCTGAATTAAGTGCTCTCTTGAACCCTACCCTGGGCTGTCTGGGTCCTATCTCTCAGACGATATCTGGTCAATTATAATGAAGCCATGGAGTCGTGGTTGGGACATCAAAGCACTATTGATGCTGTGCCTATGCACTAGGTGTAGGAAGTGCCGCTGATATCACTTGCTTGCATTTGATTCAGCACTTTATCAAACTGAAGCGTCTTCCCAGAATTTTCTATAAAATGTGGTGACTGTGTATCTTTGTTTTAAGTCAGTCGGATGTGCGATAGATGAGCCTTAAGGGTATCCAAACCAAACAGAGAGTTCCGCATATGTTAGGCCACCAACTCAAGGCAATCAATCACAGTTGGCGATAGACAAGGGATGGGGACCCCAGATGTGAAAACACAGCATGCATTTGAACTTTCCTTTTTGTGGTAATTTGTGCTGTAAATCTGTAGATGGCACTATTGTCATATAAAGTTTACAGCAGACAAGCTGAGCAACAAATAACGTCCAATATGTCACAACAGCATCATCTAATCAACTACAAGTTACACGATTCCTCCCTCTCCGATACTACCTTTATCTTTCATGGCTTCCTATTGAAAGCAGTTTGATGGTTTGGCCAACTCTACGCAATTGGAAATGGCAGTTACAGTTCACAAAAGTTTAAGTATTTTTTACAACAACAAATTACATCACATTTGTACAGCGCCTTTCACGTCGGGAGGACGTCCCAAAGCACTGGACAGTCGAGGATGTGGACCCGAGCTAGGGGTTGGGATAAGGAGGGGTGGAGGGTAGGGGTAGGAGGGTGACTGAAGGCGCGGTCGAAGAGGACTGTCTTGAAACAAGCCATGAAGGGGGCAAGCGAGGGAGCGAGGCGAAGGGACTGCGGGATGGAATTCCAAAGGGTGGGGGCAGAAAATTATGGGTGGAGAAAGGGAAGTAACACAAATTAATACAAACTATTTGGGATTTGACAAAATGTCGGAATCTGGGCCGTTGGTAAAACCATTGTCTGGAGACGTCTCAATGACATGATAAGGCGCTATATCAAACACAAGATTTATTATTATTATTAGTAAGCCGTGATCACGTGATGCTGTACCTGATTTCCACCCATGCCGTGGCAGTTGAATATGCCGACCTTTTCATTCTCTTTCCGTCCCATGTTATCCAGACACTGGTTTGTTTCAACGTTTCTAATCTGCACACAAGCAGGAAGGAGGGTTGGTTATAAAAGATGATCGGAACAGTTCTGAGTGTAAGCCTAAACCCTTTCCTATCTCTTGTACCCTCCGATCAGGGAGGATAGGAAGAAAAAACCACAGGTGTTGACTAACGCACAGAAGAGAGTACGTTAAGTGGACTGTAAATGCCTCTGAAAAACACTGCTGTTCATTTACGAAATGCTCTTCTTCTTAAATGTAGAATTCACTTGACCTACTCTCACAGCCTCCAGATTACAGTATGTTTCCTGCACATTATAACACCGGCCACACTTCATTAATGATTTGGGAGCATCTTTTACTGGTGCGATCTTGCACCCAATGTAAATCTTCAATCACACGGGAGTTTGGCAAGGTTATAGTTCACAACCTGCATCCAGATTGATGTGAGATGTAAGGTGCACTGTAACTCGGGCATTAGTCACACTTCATTTCAATTAATCAGACAAGGAATTGCTTGACTGGGATTTCACACCTGTCAGTGGGCAACACAATATGTGATGAATTACATTAGTTTTATAATTGACAGCAAATAAAGGATATCAGGATGCAATTACTTGCTCATACTCACGGGTTTTCTTACACCTAAATTAAATTGTAATACAAACCTTTCCCGTTAAATGGCTTAAAGATCGGAGGGTACAAGAGATAAAAAAGGGTTTAGGCTTACGCTTAGAACTGGAACGGACTAGAAGAGTTTCTTTATACAGAGGATTGAGAGGAACTATCTGCCCCAGAAATTGTAGGGATACAATTGATAGGGATATTTAAAAGAGGGATAGACATATAGAAGTACTGAGGAGTATGGCAAAAGAGTTATTTCTTTATAAAGTGTAATTCTTATTCACCACCCTTTCAAGACTTTGCTTAGTAATTGAACATTGTAAACCTTTGCCTAAATGTCCATCTCAGACTAATGTTGAACATTGCCAAACTTCCCAAGAAATGGATCAGGATCACCTTAATAAACTATATAAAAAAAATACATGATTCATACCTCACCAAGTAGATAGTAACGTCTTGGAATCTGGGAATCAGGGTAGATATTTTCCAAGTACCACGAGAAAGGTTTGCATTTCAGTCTCTCTCTCAGACCCTTCCTAGCAGATACATCCCCATAGTCTACTTTAACCACACCTAGAAGCACAGACACACAGTTGGTTATACACAGTTTACAAAGCGCTGCCCACATCCAAGTCCGACCGATGATTCCAATTGCAATCGTTATTTATTGCAGCAACCTATGTCCTGGAAATAGAGAAAAAACTCAAAACTAAAAGCAGATATATGACTCAGAAGTCACTGATATACATCGGAAATCCACTGCATTCAGAAAAAAGGTTGTGTCCAATTCCCAATACAATACCAAATTACATTTGTATAGTGCCTTTCATGTCGGGAGGACGTCCCAAGACTCACCGTCAAGTGATGACCCTCCTTGTAGAAAATTTCATGAGGATCTTGATTGATATTTATCGTAGTCAGTATTCTGCAAATTCGTAAACCTAATTATTAAGAATTTGCCAAATTCTGGATCTCTTAAATGCCGCATAAATAAAGTAAACAGAGAGTAAACCAGGTCGAACTGCTCCCATCTAGGAGAAGTGCTCTGGGTCGCTGCACCGCATGAAGGACACTATAGATATTCAAGTTGTTGTTGAAGTTATCAAACCTCGCAAACTTTATCCCATTACATGGAATTTGCACAACTGTAAAGAGCAACGATACGTTAAGTGATTTAAGTGTTCGATTCCTGCCAGCAATAAATATGCAGAGCATTTTACCACAAAGTGCATCCTGTTAAAAACAGCTTTTAATTTTGTACCAGCAACTTTAATGAGAGCGCATTTAAGAAATACAATGAATCGCAACATAAAAATGCACTTAAGTTAGGCATTTGGACATCTGCGGAATTGTAATACTTGTTTCAGTCAGTTAATACTAAACATCATTGGTATGAAAACGAAGACTACAAATTTATAACCTTTCTGTGGTATGAGAAATGAAAAACGTCTTCACAATTTAGGGCAGTTAAGGAAAATAATTGGGTTAATTTTTAAAACGCAAGAAAATAAATCAGATGTTGACTGATACATGTCGAAATTTAAGAAAAATCCCAAACCCCTGCAACCTTAGTAATAATGTTGAAACAGGAATTACAGTGATATGAAAACTTCACCGAGGCTTTCAAGGCACCCTCTCACCCATGGAGGGGAGGGGTTGACAGCAAAAATAAATATATTAAAGTGTGTTAGAATATGTTGAAGGTTACATTACATCCTCTCTACATAAGAGTATACAAAAGCTGATCGGATCATAAAGCAGACTGCAATACCACTGATATTCACCAGATGGAAATATAGATGCTTATATTGTGTATCATCACTTGCAAGAAAGTGCAAAATGATAAGATTTAATACTTATAATTCAAAGCACAGCACAAGAATCAAAGCCTTTCGTTGAAACTCATAGAAATGAAACATTTCGACTTGAAGCCGAGGGGTTACAGTTGCTGAAAAACAGCGTATATTCCACTTCTCAATTGCGAGGGATAAAAGTTTAAAGAGAGCCAAAAGCACTTTCATATTCTGGCTGAGACGTCAAACGTGGAAGAATGAAATTCCCAAAAGGTTTGTTAAAAGTTGATGCATATCTTTAAAAGGCCTGAAGGCAGACCTTCGCTTGTGACAGCAATAATGTAGATCAGCTTAATACTGGTATTCAATGACTGTACGTAAAAGCTATGGCTTCTTTTATGTGGATTTTGTTCCCCTTAGTGGGGACTAAGTGTTCATGCGCCTAGTTCCCTCGGCAGTTTCACAGCGAGTATACACTACTGGGATCTGATTTACTGGAAATGTTTTTCTCCTTCCACACAGTTTTGGTGACATTCATTTCAGATCTCAGAACTCGCATTTTGAACCGTACAGGTCTAAAGTTTGTATTTACCAAAATATTAGTTTTTAATACAGGGGTCCTGTAGCATAGTGGTTAGAGCACTCGCCTCACAAGCGAGAGGACCTGGGTTCGAAACCTTAGGCAAGTTTCCTTACTCCACACGTCTCTATTTACCCAGCAGTAAGTAAGAACACGGTTGTTAGTCGATTGGTGGATTGCTTTCTGGGGTAATAATTCCTCAAACAAAATGTGGTCACTCAACCCATGACTGTTTGTGGGACTTCTGCTGTCCGCAATTCGCCCACAAATATACAGTCAATTTGTTTTATAGTATATTGGGTGAAGTGCTTTCAAACCTGTCGAAGGCGTAATAAAGCACTATATCAAATGCAAGGATTATTATTAATGACTGATGAGTGGGATTAAGTGCTGTTGTTAACCTGGATGAGGAGGATATGATGGATTGCAGCACTCTCTGTAACTATGGAATTACTGTGGTTCACGCTGCATTAAAAACAAGTCAGTTATTCCTATTGCAAAGGATTATACACTCCCACACTTGTTAAATAAAATGGGAGTTCTCAGTCCTCTGGGTACAAGTTTATTTAAATGTTACTCTCAATATCAACAGTGAAATGTTTATCTTAATTTAAAAACTGCAGAATGTTGTATAATTTAACATGCAACGGATCAAAGAAGTAGCATCATCCCTCTTATGTTTCAACGTACGACACTGTAAATGGTTGCGCAGATGACAACTAATCATTCAGTCTATGTTTGGAGAGTGTTCACGCTCTCCGTGGCATGTCAAATAATAGTCTGGCTCATGCAATGTGAGAAACTCAGTCAGTTACACAATTTTACTTCGAAACACGGTCAATCTTGGCTAAAATTCCATTGATATCCATCCAGTTCAAGGGCACTTTTCAGGCAATATAATTCACTTAAAAGGCCTGCTTATTTGTCCAAACAAACAACAGTAAACAATTGAGCGTGAAAAATAATACAATATAGGAATATAGGAACAGAAGTAGACCATTCAGCCCCTTGGGTATGTTCCGACATTCTATGAGATCATGGAGCGTGTGTTGAGGTTAACTGCTGGAGTCTAATCAGCTAAAGCCATTGATATCGCTGTCTGGCCAGCTTTCCCGCTACTTGTCCAGCTAGGACCACCCTACCCGTTAGGGCTTTGGCTTGCAGGATTAACAGGAGCTGAGTCGGATGACTCCTTGCCCCCAGTGACCGATCTGACAGCAACTGCCACGTGAACATTAGGAAAATTCCACATCCTACAAATTTCAGCACATCTCATTCAGACGCGATCGAGTCGCACGTTCTCTTGCGTTTCCGTCACGTTGGACTTCACCGTTCACAGTAACGCTGCACATTTCTCAAACCGTTTCCATTGTATTTTTTAAAGCACATTTTGGAAACATTATTTAAATATTAAACATTCTTCCCATCTCCATAGAAACTGCATTTCAGAAATCTGCTATCCCATTAGCCGCACAGCAAAACCACCATTTACTGACATCCTTCCACGTACGATAGAATCCATTATTGTGACCGAAATATAATTTTAAGAATAAAGAATACTGAGCTAATGGCCACACTGGTTAAATAAATCTTGAATCATTAAGCTATTATATGTTCAGCCCTTTAATAAGCTGTTATGATTATGAATAATTCAACAGATCCCAGGTCATGTTGCCTTTACCTTGATCTTTGCTAATGTTTTTAAAATTTCACAATTATTGGTTTTGTAGGAGAGACGCTTTCAATTTACTGTTTTAACTGATTTGTCATGCTTGCGGTCACCGCAGCACAGACTTAATTAGCCTCTTAGTCAATGATGCATCATTATTCTTCCAGCCTCACGCTGTATTGATGTAGAATATGACTGAAAATCGGGTTAGTTATAGCGGCTCGTAACCCGCAAACTGCGCACAGGAATGTTCTCGCTTTCCTTACATCGTGTCCTAAAATGCCCCTTTTAATAATTGATGAGTAAACTACGGAAGATAAATTCTTTGTAAGCGCAGAATTGTGTAGTGCAAGCACAGGCTATCATTGCATCAAGCAGCAATCAGTGCGTAGAATTCAGCTCTGAACCATTAAAGACAGCCCGGATTGATTGCGTAATATTACCGATAAATAAGAGTATTGGGTTCTGATAAATTGTGTGTCTGTGTACAGAAGCAGTGATCTATCTGCAGTAGCTTTCTAGCTCCTTCGTTCAATAATACAAGAGCAATGTAAATTTTGCTGAATATTGTTAAATGTAGTTTGATGCTGTATTTTTTTTAAAAAAGGCTTAAAAAATCCGCTTTTATACCAAGTTTCAAGTCATAATCAATTTGGTTTTAACAAAATATCTTTTTTGGGGGGTTTGTTTGATATTTATAACCTCCAATTTTCACTCCTCCTTTCTCAGGCACTGACACTTGTTTTAACATAGTTTGACAGGTTCAAGCAGCCTAGATAGCAAGTGTCACCAGGCTACTGAATCAGAGAGGGCTCCTTAGCTGCCACAGCTAATCCTGTAGTCTCCTGTTGTCTCCCTACGTATACTTTCCAGCACTCCCAACCCCCATCTCTAGCTCAGGGGACTGAGGTCAACTGTGTTGCCAATACTACTGTCTGGCTGAGATCATACAGCCCAGCAATCAAACTCGGAGCCTTTCAGGTCTGTACGGCTGCAGTAGCTTTACTAACGGAGCTTTGGGGAGCTGTCTTTTTAATAGCAGTTATTTTTTTTTCTCTCTCTCACTCTAGAAAACTAGCTGATTCAAATTTACGAACGCAATGGAACATGCTTATCGTGAAGCCCTGTAGCGAATTGGTTAGAGCACTTCCCTACTAAGAATAACTTGGTCACTCAATCCACGAGTGTTTGTGGGACGCTGCTGTGCGCAATTGGCTGCCGTGTTTCGCCCACAAAATATACGGTCAATTCACTTTACAGAATATTCTGTGAAGCGCTTGGAGACATCTCGAAGACGTGATAAGGTGCCAAATCATTAGATATAGCGCTTTTCACGACTTCTAGACGTCCCAAAGCTCTTCACAGAATAGACTGTAAAGTGAATTGACCGTATATTTGTGGGCGAAATGTGGAAGACAATTGCACACAGCAACGTCCCACAAACACTCGTGGATTGAAATTACCTACTTTTTTTTTGAGGGATTATTATCAGGCGTGTGGAGTAAGGAAACTTGCCCAAGTTTTCACCCTG